TGATGAGTCTGATGCTATGATGATGGATATTACGATGACGACGCCGATGCCGATACTACTAATGATACTGATGATGATGTTGATGCTGATGATGATGATGGTGATTCTGATCCGTATGATATTGATGATGATGATGAAAATGATGATGATGCTTATGCTGCTGAATATGCTGATGATGCTGCTGCTGACGATGATGATGATGATAATGATGATGATGATGATGAGGATGATGATGATGATGATGATGATGCTGATGCTGATGCTGATGCTGATGATGATGATGATGATGATGATGACGACGATGATGATGATGATGATGATGATGATGATGATGATGATGATGATGATGCACATGCCGATGCTGATGATTCTCATTATGATGATGCTGATGATAATGACGACGACGATGAGGCTGATAATCCTGATGATGGTGATGATGATGATAATACGGTCCTGGATATGTGGGATGATGGGAGGAGGCCGAGGATCGGAGGTGGGGAGGTGAGATCGAAGTGGAACGGAGAGCCCCCCACCGGGAAATCGGTTTCGGTTTCGTGTTCGTGCGTGCCGTGCGTGCGGGCGAGGCGAACCTGCTTAGGCAGGCGAGAGGAAAGTCTCCTGTGGCTGAGGCGCGGCCGGAGCAAGTGATTCTCCCTCCGGCAAGCGGTGGCCAGCGGTGTCCCGCCGGTGTCCCGCCGGTGTCCCGCTTGTGGCTGGGCCTCGGCCGGACCAAATGATTCTCCCTCCGGCAAGCGGTGGCCCGCGGTGTCCCGCTGGTGTCCCGCCAGTGTCCCGCCAGTGTCCCGGTGTCCCGCTGGTGCGAAAACGATAGTGAGACCGATGACGAAACCGATTGTGAGATCGATAGTGAGATCGATAGTGAGACCAATAGTTAGTGAGATCGATCGTGAGATCGATTGTGAAATCGATAGTGAGATGAATAGTGATATCGATTGTGAGATCGAGTGATATCGATAGGGACATCGTTAGTGGGATCGATAGCGAGATCCAGAGTGAGATCGACAGTGCAATCGATCGAGTGAGATCGATAATGAGATCGATCGAGTGAGATCGGTAGTGGGATCGATCCCATCGATCGTGAGACCGATAACGACATCGCTTGTGAGATCGATAGAGAGATCGATAGTGAGATCGATAAACGGCCCCCCAAGCTTGCAGAATGAACATAATAAATTATTTTTTCGTTAATTCCCGGGGGGAGAATGATGCCAAGGCGCCCAAGAGCGAAGGATGACGTAAACAACTCGACTCCACGGCTCCCAAGAGCGAGAGGCAGCGCAGCAATCACCACTGATGCCCATTGCTGGCCCCCCTCCCCCGCCCAACCTCCTTATCACCCGCAGGGTGGTCGTATAGGTAGGTATGATGATGCTGATGATGCTGATTACGGTGACCACGAGGATGAGGCTGACGATGATGATTATGATGTTGTCGATGATGATGATTATGATGCTGATGATGATTATGATGATGCTGATTCTGATGATGATAATGACGCTGATGATGATGCTTCTGATGGTGTTGCTGCTGATGATGAGGCTGATGCTGATGATGCTGATGCTGATGCTCATGATGATGCTGATTATGTCGATGATGATGATGCTGATGATGATAATGATGATGATGATGATGATGATGATGATGATGATGATGGTGCTTGTGTTGATGTTGATGCTGATGGTGCTGATGATGATGATGATGATGATGCTGATGATGATGATGATGATGACTGGGAGGAGAAGAAGGAGGAGGAGACCGTTGAGGAGGGTGATGAGGCCGAGGAGATGTGGGGTGATGTGAGGAGGCCGAGAACTGATATGATGATGATGACGATGATGATGACGACGAGGACGAGGATAGGGATGTGGATGATACTGATGCTGCTGACGATGATGACTTCGATGGTGGTGGTGGTGATGATGATGATACTGATGATAACGAGGTGATTGTGACGGTGACGGTGATGGTGATGGTGAAAGTGATGGCGATGGTGATGGTGATGATGATGATGATGATGATGATGATGGTGGTGAACATGATGATGATGACGATGATGATGATGCTTATGTTGATGCTGATGGTGATGATGCTGAGTTTGATGATGATGACGATGCTGATGATGGTGGTGGTGGTGATGCGGCTGATAGTGATGACGGTGATGATGACGATGACGATGCTGCCGCTGATGGTGATGCTGATGCTGATGCTGAAGATGATGATGATGATGCTGAGGATGCTGATGATGATGTTGCTGATGATGCTGATGATGATGCCGATGATGGTGCTGCTGATTATGATAATGATGGTGATGATGATGGTGCTGCTGATGACGGTGATGCTGACGATGCTGGTGCTGGTGCTGATGCTGATGATGATGCTGATGATGATGGCGATGCTGATGCTGACGACGATGATGATGATGATGATGATGATGATGATGATGATGATGATGATGATGATGATGATGATGGTGGTGGTGGTGGTGGTGGTGACGTTGATGATGATGATGATGGTGATACTTATGATGATGCTGATTCTGATGATGATAATGATGATGCTGATGATGTTGATGATGCTGATGATGATGACGATGATAATGATGATGCTGATGATGATGATGATGACGATGATGATGATGCTGATGATGCTGATGCTGATGTTGTTGTTTGTGATGACGATGATGATGACGATGATGATGATGAAGAAGAAGAAGAATAAGACTCGGAGGAGGAGGAGGAGGAACAAGAGTCCGAGGAGTCGGGGGGAGGGGAAGAGGAGAGGGAGGAGTGTCGAGAAGGACGTGGGTTGGGTTGGGGGGAGTAGTGTCATACTGCAAGCATGCGCCTCAGCGGCCGCGCTTGCAGGGGTCCTCGGGCTGCGGCCGATGGCAAGTGGCGGTGGCGGTGGAGGTCGTTCTGGCGTTTCGCTGAGCGCGCCTGGGGTGAATTTATTGGCGAAGCCGAGCCAGCCTTCGCCAGCGGTGTGGTTGGGCCGCCGCCTTTGCCCTGGGGGTGCCCGTGCATCGGTGATGCGTCGGCGATGCTTCGCGATTCTGCGACCCCATCTCCTTCGATTCCATCCAGGAGGCCTCTAATTGTTGCAGTTTTTGTTTGTTTTTCCAACCTCGACGCTTGGGGGGTCGAGCTCCTCGGCCGAGCAGCTGCCGCCGCCGAGCGAATCCTGCTGCCGCTGGATCGCGCCTTGTGCGTGAACCACTCGGCGCAGCAGCGCTTTCTCTGTGGAAAGTCGGCCAGAAAAGCGTGTGCGAAGAAAGCCGAGGAGCGCCTGCGCGAGACCTGCCAGGAGCAGGATGCGTCGTCCTCGGAGCGCACCCTCGGAGGCCGTCGAGGAGTACAGGGAAGCTGGAGGCACATGTGTGTCGGCTGGGCCCGGTTGTGGTTGTGTTTGCGATCTGGGACTTCTCGTTGTTGTAAATTGGGGCGGCGAAGGAACTCTGAGACGGGTGCTGTACCCCTTGCCCCTTGGCCGTTGAGGGTGCTAGTCTGGGCACACCAAAGAACCACAACCACAACTACGCGGATTTGTCGGGAGGGACCCTCGGGTGAGAACCCACCGACCTCGAAATGCGCACATTGGTTGTGGTTGTGGTCGATTTGGCCGTCTTGGGACGCCACTTCGACCACAGCAAGTACGAAGCTAGTTTTTATTAGGAAAAATCATGGAGGCCTCGCGCGGCGCGTAATAGTTGTATTATCCGTAAGGGCTTCGCCCCATGCCGCCGGCCCCCTGTCTCGGATAATGGGAGATGCAAAAGCTAAATCATGAGGTCTGGGCGACGCCGTAAAGCAGTGTCGGGACCTGTTTGTTTTTCGACCCTGACCTTACGGATCTGCGTGAGGGGTGTCACCGAATTTCCGCGAAATCCCGTGTGTTTTTGGACCCTGACCCTGGGGTGTCGCCGAATTTCAGAAATGTGGCAAATCCCTTGTGTCTTTGGACCCTGACCCTACGGATCTGCGTGAGGGGTGCCAGCACATTTCAGAAATGTGGCAAATCCCATATGTTTTTGGACCCTGACCTCGCTGATCTGCGTGAGGGGTGCCATCGAATTTCACAAATGTGGCAAATCCCGTGTGTTTTTGGACCCTGACCCTACGGATCTGCGTGAGGGGTGTCGCCGAATTTCAGAAATATGGCAAATCCATTTTTTTTGGGGACCCTGACCCTACGGATCTGCGTGAGGGGTGCCAGCAAATTTCAGAACTGTGGTAAGTCCAATGGGTTTTCGGACCCTGACCCCGCCGATCTGCGTGAGAGATGCCATCGAATTTCAGAAATGTGGCAAGTCCTCTGTGTGTTTGGACCCTGACCCCGCTGATCTGCGTGAGGGGTGTCACCGAATTTCCGGCAAATCCCGTGTGTTTTTGGACCCTGACCCTACGGATCTGCGTGAGGGGTGTCGCCGAATTTCAGAAATGTGGCAAATCCATTGTTTTGTTTGACCCTGACCCTACGGATCTGCGTGAGGGGTGCCAGCACATTTCAGAAATGTGGCAAATCCCATGTGTTTTTGAACCCTGACCCGCCGATCTGCGTGAGCGGTGTCAACTGTTACCCACCCCAGCAATTCAGAGCACACGCTCGGGGCGTGCTAAACCTGCCCGTTTGGGCCTCCCCCCCTCGCGCGGTCCATCAACAAGGAACAGTAAGCAGCAAGAAGCAGAACTATAACAGTGGAAACTGGAAGCTGCAACTGGTACAGGAAACTGCGAAGCTTCGGCCTACAGCCTGGTGGCCCCACAAGGGGGCCAGCGGATCTAGTCCACCCGTCTATGGGTCGACGCTTGCGCGTCGATGCTCCATCGTCAGTTCGACGTAAATCCGACGTACATCCGACGTAGTCCGACGTGAACCCGACGTAAATCCGGCGTGGATCCGACGCAGCTCGGGTCTTAACTTGTCGCGCGAATTTTCCTCACAGTGGCTTTGGTTTGCCGACAAATTCTGGCATGCGCAAGACCTTCCCCAGGGTGTGCCCTCGATGTGGCTGCGGTCGCCTGCTGTCCCTCACCACCCACCCAACCACTCCAACCCAACCCGAAGGCCTCAATTCGCCCTCCATTTCCAGTGGTGGGGGCCGGGGAACTTGGTAAAACATATATGGAGCCCGTACCCCCCCCAACCCGAAACTCGGGTCAGATTCGGGTCTTCGGGTTGGGTTGGGGTGGTTTGGTAGGTAGTCAGTCCCCGCGCCTTGCTGACCTCGGGCTCCTCGAGCTGCCCACGCTGACGGGGATGGAGATGCCGAGCGGGCTGCAGCTGGAGCAGACGCTGCATGGCCGTCGGCCGCCGACGTGGACGCGGGCGACCTGGGCTCCCTGCTGGAGCGGACGGTGGTTTCAAAACGGCAGCACGCCGCCTCATGTCGGGCCGAACGAAAGGGGAGGATATGGAAAGGGGAGGGTACGAAATTTGCTGCATGCAGCTGGTTTCGGCCCCGCCGCCTGGCCCATTCCTCGATACATGGGCGCCTTCCAGCGCCAGGAGGCGCCGGGAAAATCAGCTACGTGAGCTGATTCTCACCCCCCCCTTTGCTATCCCCCTCTTTCGCCCGGCCCGAGCATGGCGTGGCCGGGAGCCGGATGCCCTCCCAACGCGCCTGCGCGACCCAGCGGGGGCTGCCGCGCGGCCATGGTAGGTGCACCGTGCCGAAGCCGTCCCCAGCGCCTCGAGGCGGCCGCGGGCCCCTGTTCGGTAGCAAATCATGGGGGCCTGGCATATCTATACGACCACCCTTCGGGTGATAAGGAGGTTCGGGGGGGGGGGAAGGAACCCACGTCTCACTAGATCGGTCTAACTATCGATCTCACTATCGATCTCAGTATCGGTCTCGCTCCATCGATCTCCCTCAATCGATCTCACAATCGATCTCACTCGATCCATCTCACAATTGATCTGACTGTCGATCTCACAATCGATCTCACAATCGATCTCACAATCGATATCACATTCGGTCTCACTATCGATCTCACTATCGATATCACAACCGCTATCACAATCAACGTCATCATCATCATCAACAACAACAACATCAACATCCACATCATCATCACCATCATCATCATAATCGGGACACCGTCCTCATCATCAACACCACCAACATCATCATCATCATCATCATCATCATCACGGTCATCAACATCATCGGGACACCACCATCACCATCATCATCATCATCATCATCATCATCATGATCACATTCATCATCATCAACATCATCATCAACAGCATCGGGACACAGTCATCGTCATCATCATCATCAGCAGCAGCATCATCATCGGGACACCATCATGATCACCATTGTTATCATCATCATCATCATCATCATCATCATCATCGGGACACCATCATCATCATCTCATCCTCATCATCGACATCATCACTATCATCAGCATCATCAACATCATCATCAGCATCATCATCGTCATCATCGGGGCACCATCATCATCATTACCAACATCAGCATCAACATCATCATCATCATCAAAACCGACGGGACGCCATCCTCATCAACATCATCATCATCATCATCATCACCATCAGAATAATCATCATCATCGGGACGCCATAATCATCATCAACATCATCATCATCACCATCGGGACACAACCATAATCAGCATCATCGACATCAACATCATCATACTCATCATCATCGGGACACCATCATCGTCATCATCATGATCATCAACATAATCATCATGATCATCATCATCCTCATCATCGGGACACCATCAGCATCATCATCATCATCGTCATCATCAACATCATCGACATCATCATCTAAATCATCATCATCATCATCATCATCGGGACACCATCATGATCATATCATCATCATCGTCCTCATCATCATCATCATCAGCAGCATCACCATCATCATCATCATCATCATCATCATCATCGTCATCATCATCATCATCAGCAGCAGCATCATCATCAGCATCACCATCATCATCATCATCATCTCATATCATCTCATCTCATCTCATCTCATCTCATCTCATCTCATCTCATCTCATCTCATCTCATCTCATCTCATCTCATCTCATCTCATCTCATCTCATCTCATCATCATCATCATCATCATCATCATCACGGGACACCGCGGGGCACTGGCGGGACACCGCGGGGCACCGCGGGACACCGCGGGACACCGCGGGACACCGGCGGGACACCGGCGGGACACCGTGGGCCACCGGCCGCCCGGAAGGGAATCATTTGGTCCGGCCGCGCCTCAGCCACACGGGACACCAGCGGGACACCGGCGGGACACCGCGGGCCACCGGCCGCCCAGAAGGGAGACATTTGGTCCGGCCGCGCCTCAGCCACAGGAGACTTTCTCTCGCCCGCCCACGCAGCTTCGCCTCGCCCGCACGGCACGCACGAACACGAAACCGAAATCGATTTCCCGGTAGGGGGGCTCTCCGTTCCACTTCGATCTCCCCCCCTCACCTCCGACCCTCTCGATTCCGTCCTTGGCGTCGACTAGCGTCGCTCAGCGTCTGGGAGTCGATGAGGTGGCGCCGATTCAGCGTCGGTGTGCGTCGATCATCGTCGATTTAGCGTCGATTAGCGTCGACCAGCGTCGATGAGCGCCGATTCGCAAGAGCCGACAAGATGGTATGGGAGGCTCCCATGAGTTGCCACCGAACCCTTGCTTCTGGCCGAAGCACACGACGTCGACATGCTCGTACAGGAAAGAGGTCGGGACGCTGAGAGCAAAGCAGGCTTGCCAGCTGGAGGGCCAGATGGTCGCCTTCTCGGCCTGGGCTTGGACGTGCCGAGGACGGCACCCGAGTAGTTGTCGGGGGCTGGGTGCCGACGGCACATCGACGCGGGCGACTCGCCCAGTTGTCGCGAGCGCCTACTCGACGGCCGCGCCGTGGCCGAGTGGGTCAACGCGTTGATCCCAGTTGGCTGTCGCTGTCTCTACCCGTCGACGGGTTGGGATTTCGACGAGGCCAGCAATTTGATCTTCCGCAGGGCGTGTGGGCCCCTTCGCGAAGTCGGCGTTCTGGGGCCTTGTTTGTAGCCGGCGCATCCTTGACTGACGGCTGGGAGAGACTCGATACCTCAAGAACGCCTGGGGATGGAGGGGAGGAGGAGGAGCAGGAGGAGGAAGAGGAGAAGGAGGGGGTAGGAGGAGGAGGAAAGGAGGAGGAGGAGGAGGAGGAGGAGGAGGAGGAGGAGGAGGAGGAGGAGGAGGGGGAACGAGGAGGGGTAGGTTGAGGAGGATGAGGACCAGAAAGACCGTTATGATGATGCTGATGCTGATGATGATGTTGATGTTGATGTTGATGATGATGATGATGATGATGATGATGATGATGATGATGATGATGATGATGATGATGCTGATGCTGATGCTGATACTGATGATGATGCTGCTGATGATGATAAGGATGTATTCTGATAACTATAAGGATGAGGAGGAGGATGAGGATGATAATGCTGCTCCTGATGCTGATGATGATGGTGATGCAGCTGCTGATGCCCCTGACGCTGCTGATGATGACGATGATGCTGAGGATGCTGATGATGATGGTGATTATGACGCTGCTGATGATGCTGCTGCTGATGAGGATCATGCTCATGATCATGATGATGCTTATGCTTACGATGATGGTGATGATGATGCTGATTCTGATGATGATGACGGTTTTGATGACGATTACGATTACAGGGAGTTCAAACAAACTAGGTCGGCATGCCCGGGCTCAGCCTCGCGGACCTATTCTAAAACCATAGTTTAAACATCCTTGTTTTGTTCCACGCCCAGCCGTCATCGCGCAAATGATTATCGAAAACTTATTTTAAAAGTTGTCACGGCGATCTTCTTCCAGATATTCCTCCGGATGTTCTTCCAGATCTTCACAGGTCACTAAATCTTCACGTAAATCTTCGCCCAGGCCCGTAAATCTTCACCCGGGGCTCTCATTGTTCCCCCAGAGTCCGAAATCTTCACTTAAATCTTCACCCCGGGCCCTAAATCTTCACATTAATCTGCGCGCAGGGCCGTAAATCTTCGCCTAACTCTTCACCTGGGACCCTGAACCTTCACTAAATCTTCACCTAGGCCTTTTCGCCCATTGCCGCAAAACTTCACCCAGGCTTTATATCTTCACCTAAATCTTCAACCTGCACCCTAAATCTTCATTTGCATTTTCGCCCAGGCCCATGCCTTAAATCTGAATGTAAATATTCACACGGGACTGTAAATCTTCACCCAGGGCTCTAAATCTTCACCCAGAGCCCGAAATCTTCATTTAAATCTTCACCGAGGGCCCTAAATCTTCACCTAAATCTTCACGCAGGGCCGCAAATCTTTATTTAAATTTTCACCCAAGACCTTGATTCTTCACGTAAATCTTCACCCCGGAGGCCCAAAGTACATCTTCAAGAAAATCGTCACCCCGGAGGCCCGCCAGCCTAAATCTTCATCCATATTTTCTCGAAAATCTTCGTTCTGGAGCCCCGCCAGCTTAAATCCGCATTTATGTCTTCACGAACATCTTCGCCCCGCAGCCCCTCCAGCCTAGATCTTCATGTAAATCTTCACGTGCATCTTCACCCCGGAGGCCCACCAGCCTAAATCTTTATTTACATATTCGCGTACATCTTCACCCCGGAGCCCCGCCAGCTCAAATCTTCATTTAAATCTCTCCTTAATTCTTCACCCAGGGCCCCATCGTCACCCCCGGCAAGACCCCCCCCCCAGCACGACCCACCGAACGAACCCCCCAGCGTCCCCCCCCCATAAAAGATGTCACCCTAAAAATGCGTTTTTAGATATTTATGTGAGGTGCCCACTTAGAATTGCATTTAAGGCTTCACGCGGATTGGCGCAGATTCCAGAATGGAAAGCCTTGTTTTGTTGAGCGCCACGTCATTGCGCTTTTTTTTTTCCCAACCATCCTGTGGTGTTGGGTCCTCGTTTTGAAGGGACAGCGCCCCGCGTTCCACCTCCTTCCTCCTTCCTCCTCCTCCTCCCCCATCCTCCCCCTTCTGGCCTCTGCTCTTCGCATGCAGCGTTTGGTGGCCCCATAGGGAGCTCCACCGAAGGCCCCAGTGGGGGGGGGGCCACATGCGGCTCCCACGCCCAGGACAGCGTTTCGTTTCCCCATAGGGAGCTCCACCGAAGGCCCCAGTGGGGGGGGCCACATGCGGCTCCCACGCCCAGGACAGCGCTTCGTGGCCCCACAGGGAGCTCCACCGGAGGCCCCAGTGGGGGGGGCCACATGCGTCCCCCACGCCCAGGATAGCATTTCGTGGCCCCATAGGGAGCTCCACCGAAGGCCCCAGTGGGGGGGGGCCACATGCGGCTCCCACGCCCAGGGCAGCGCTTCGTGGCCCCACAGCGAGCTCCAACGAAGGCCCCAGTGGGGGGGGCCACATGCGTCCCCCACGCCCAGGATAGCGTTTCGTGGCCCCACAGGGAGCTCCACCGAAGGCCCCAGTGGGGGGGGCCACATGCGGCTCCCACGCCCAGCACAGCGTTTCGTTTCCCCATAGGGAGCTCCACCGAAGGCCCCAGTTGGGGGGGCCACATGCGTCCCCACGCCCAGGACAGCGCTTCGTGGCCCCATAGGGAGCTCCACCGAAGGCCCCAGTGGGGGGGCCACATGCGTCCCCCACGCCCAGGACAGCGTTTCGTGGCCCCATAGGGAGCTCCACCGAAGGCACCGGTGAGGGGGGGCCACATGCGTCCCCCACGCCCAGGACAGCGCTTCGTGGCCCTATAGGGAGCTCCACCGAAGGCTCCAGAGGGGGGTACCGCATGCGTCCCCCGCGCACAGGACAGCGCTTCGTGGCCCCATAGGGAGCTCCACCGAAGGCCCCAGTGGGAGGGGCCGCATGCGTCCCCCACGCCCAGGGCAGCGTTTCGTGGCTATATAGGGAGCTCCACCGAATGCCCCAGTGGGGGGGGGGCGCATGCGTCTCCCCCACCCAGGACAGCGTTTCGTAGCCCCATAGGGAGCCCCACCGAAGTCCCAGTGGCACAGTTCGCATTCGTTTCCCCCACCCAGGACAGCGTTTCTTGGCCCATAGAGATTACCACCGAATGCGATACTCACAACGACGGTATTCACAACTGCATATGCCTGGGTCCTTCGCCAGGCTAATGCTTAGCTTAGTTTTGTGGCTCGGCCTCGGCGCGGCGCTCCAAACTCTACGCGAGAACCCAGAATTTAAACCCTTGTTTTTTTCCCAGCCATCCTGTGGTGTTGGGTCCTAGTTTTGAAGAGATTTGAAGAGACAGCGCCCCGCGTCCCACCTCCTTCCTCCTTCCTCCTCCTCCTCCCCCATCCTCCCCCTCCTGGCCTCTGCTCTTCGCATGTCTCTGCTTCGGCACACACAGTACAGCGTTTGGTGGCCCCATAGGGAGCTCCACCGAAGGCCCCAGTGGGGGGGGCCACATGCGCCCCCCACGCCCAGGACAGCGCTTCATGGCCCCATAGGGAGTTCCACCGAAGGCCCCAGTGGGGGGGGTCACATGCGTCCCCCACGCATTTGGCGTAGTGGTGTGTTCGCCGAGGAGGAGAAGGAGGAGGAGGAGGAGGAGGAGGAGGAGGGGCAGGAGGAGGAGGAGGAGGAGATGAGGAGGAGGATGAAGAAGAGGAGGTGGAGGATGAGGGAGAGGAGGAGGAGCAGCAGCAGAGGAGGATGACAACGAGGAGGAGGAGGAGAAGGAGAAGGAGGAGGAGGAGGATTTGGAGGAGGAGGAGGAGGAAGATTGGGAGGAGGAGGAGGAAGATGAGGAGGAGGAAGAGGAGGAGGAGGAGGAGGAGGAGACGAATGTGAGGGAGGCGGGGGGAGGAGGATAATTAGAGGGAAGGAGGGAGGATGATGAGGAGGAGGAGGAGGAGGACGCGGAGCAGGAGGGAGGAGGAAGAGGAGGAGGGAGGACGGAGGAGGAGGAGGAGGAGCAGGAGAAGGAGGAGGAGGAGGAGAAAGGATGAATACGGACAAGGGAGGAGGAGGGGGGGTTCTGCCCCGCGCGGCGTCTGCTTTAGTTCCTGTGCTTCGGCGTTGCTAACACTGGCCTTTAAGGGCCTCCAGCTCGATCTGCAGCCCGATTTTCGCCGTCCTGATAACGTCAATGCATTGCGGATCAGGAGAAGGACCAGGAGGAGGGGGGAGGCGCCACTTAGGGGTGCTTCGCTTCAGAAGTCCACCGAGGGGCTTAGGGGCTCTTTTTCTGAATCTGACACGTGTTGCCACTTCTGGATCCTCAGCGAGATTCCCCATCAGCTGGAATTCAAGAACGTACAAATCGCACAGGAGCCGACCGTTTCTGAATGTTGCAGAAACCTTTGTCACACAAAGAGGACTTCAGGCCACTCACGCTGGAGGAGAGCCAGAAGTTTTTGACTTCGCATCTGGCTCCGGAGATGCTTGGGCTCGACGATTTGTTGGTGATATGATCGTTTGTAGAACATGCGGCGCAGAGTGTAAGAGGAAGAGAAAGCACCCGCACGTAATAACACTGAACGCATGCAATAACCTCGGCAGCGGCATGCTTACACGCACCCGATATCATGTGCCCCGCACCTAGCCGCACCGCTATTCTGCGCTCGAGTGCGGTACATATACGGGCACACGTATGTACACGTGAGCCCATACAGACCCAAATAGTCGTCGGTTCCCAGCAAACTATTGGAAATCATGGGAAATGTGGGGTGAGACGAAAGTCCAGACGATACATCGCCGCTCCGAAAGTTCCTTGAATTTTCTGAATCGGGCCCGATGGCATTGTATGCTCACCTACTTCGCAGCCCTCTTGGCAACGGCCCTCGATGG